AACGCTGCGTGACCTTGGGTGGTGGACTGTGACATTCAAAATATCCGTTAAATGAGAGTCTCAAAATTACGCAAAAAATGTTTATCTAACATATGACAATATGTGTATTATTGGAATCCACGATAGACTAACAAAATATGTATAGTTCCATTTGAAAGAAACACCGTTACTGCAATAACTCGTAAACTACAAGTGATAAAATAGAAAGGAATACATACTTGAATTAGCCTAATTCCCTCACGCACTTCCGTGAAAACTGCATTGTAAAAATTTGAACCGTTCAAAAATTATTACAGTAGGTGATAAAGTTACGTGACCCGCCCTGTATCTTGCAATCGGGTCACCGCAATTCATTCAGTCGCAAACCATACTGCGGTTTGCTGGTACCGTGATACGCAAGTAGTTGTGATAATGTTGCCCCTTCCTAGACTTCCTAGTGCAAAAATCACTTGTCGGTAGCTAGCCGAGAAGCTGTTCATCACAAACTTGTAATGAGCTCTTAATTGTGTTAAATTTAAGAAGGAAAATAACATCACGTAAAACTTATAATAAATTGTAGTAACATTTTTTGTAGTAAAATGTGTGATCAGTAACGCACTACTATTTTCATATATTACAACTATAACTATATTATAATGTCATAACCATTTTGTATTCCTAACAATATTTCAGGTAAGTGTCCTCATTTTTTAAAACAATATGGACAGCCTAAGTATTTCCAAATATACTTTGCTTCCTTTATTTTTATTTCTATTTTTATTATTTTAAAAATATTTAGAAGGGCGAATTAAATTTTTTCCCGACTCCTCCCTGAAATTCTTGATCCGTCTTCGGCTGTAGTGGTACAACAATAGTGGACACTGCGCTAGCAAACTAAAGATGTGTCAAGGAAAGGTAGGGAGATATCAGGCAGAGTTGCTGGACACACGAGCAGTACTGAGCTGTAGGTATTTTGTCCATTAACCGAGAATTTATGATCATGCATCAATATTCGAATTGAATAGCTCACTATATTTATTTAATGGTTCTTTTCAGAGCCAAAATTCTCAAATACAAATTTTACATACATAACAAACAGATAGTAACATACCAAGACAAAAAGAGTTGCAGACGAAATGCATTTTTTTTTTAAATTTAATGTGTAATCGTGAAACAAAATGTATCTCAATAAATTCGTTTGCAAGCACATTAGTATCCTGACCAAGCATTGGTATCATGACATACTAAAAAACTAATCTATGACAAAGGTTTACGTTCCATGTAGTATAAGTTTTTAAAATTATTGAATATTTTACAATTTAGTATCTCCATTGTGTTTGTTAAAATGCAACGTCACTACACTCCGCTTGAAACGTACCAGCACTTCAAGGCCGAAAGCTAAAGGATACAGGAACCTTGGTATTCAATCGGGAGCTCTAATACACAAGATATTAGTCGTAATGAAGCTTCCCATTTGATGATAGTGTCTCCCTCTTCGTTTAACTCGTGACCTTGAAGTTGTGATGTTGAAATCGGAGAATAATTACACTTCCCTTAAGAAATCTTCTTATTAACTTACAACGAAATATTATCAATTCTAAGTCGTATCCGTGAAGCCTCTAATTATATAGGTGAGTAAGCAGTCAGAGGAACAATACTGACAGCGTTTCATACAATATTGTTTTCAGATTTTTCTTGAAGCATTTTCCACGGACACATATCAAGTAGTAGATCAGATGCAATTGGACGATTCCGAAATTGTATCACATTAGTAACCTTCTGGCATTCAACAGAATGAATTGATTTATTTTAATTTCAGCTTTAAATGTTTACATATACGAGAGAATTTTGCAAAAACATATTACATACTGCACAACAAAAAAAAGTTTCAAAAATAACATTTCGAGGACTGAGGCAAGTTTTCCTGGTGTAGTGTCCATGGCATCTTTCACCAATGAAAGCAAGAAGTGGACATGGGTACTTCTAGGTATAGCTATTTAGAATAGGTTTAATGAAAACATTGTAAATATTTCCAGTTTATTTATTTTAATTTGCTTATTTACTTTTCTGTTACATCGTTTTACTTCTTATGTCAATTAGATTCAGAACAATTGTTTTCGTTATAACGTTTGTATCATTCATAAGGACAAATTTGTGATTTATTAATATAAAAAGCAGTTCGTAAGACGTATAATGAATATTCATTTTTATTTTCCTTTCCATTCTTTCATCTATTTTCAATATATGCCTCATACATTGAATCAAAAACACACTTTTTCATTTTCTTTCTAAGGTAATTCTGCCGTGTCGGGCAACCTTGTAGATTCGTGAGTCATGACTTCGACCGCTATGTACTCGACAGGGGAGGAAACACGAACATTCGAAAGTTAAGTACTAGTTCCTCTGATTTTTAAAGCGCGATTGTGTCATATTTATAGACATAGAAATATACGAAAAGCAGTGTCGTGTTCACGACGCAGTAAATAATACTTTCTACGACGGATTTTTTTGACTGTCTTAAGCAGTACTTGACTGGAACACTATGATAAATATTTATATTCGCGGCTGACTTTTTAGATAACTTCACGCAAATGCTGAATGATAAATTAAAGATTCATGTGTTGACTCAGTTATAATAAAAATAACAGCGAATGTCTGAAATGCATTATTTCCTAGTTCACTATGACAATAAGCCTAAATATATTTTTTGTTTAACCAGGATCAGCTTGAAAACAAAATTTTTTAATAAAAATATGGCGCAATATCTATGACCAACGCAGTCGCAGTCATTAAGTGCAATCATCATTTACATGACGACTCCATGTTAACAAGTATGCAACTATAATTTTGGTTTTTCCGATATACATAAAAAACTATTAACACTATTAATCAAACATATATAATTTGCAAAGTAAGTAAATATGTATTCAACAACACTGGAAAAGGAATACATTTATTTTAATTCTATTAGTTTACACTGAATACTAACGTTACAGTATCTTGGATAAAATATTCGTATTGACCGTGAATAAAGATGGTTAAGGGTGATTATAAACATATATTTCGAAATAACAACATGAGAAGCACTGTTGCCGCTAACACTTCAGTATTCACACAAATTATTCAGTCCAAGAGGCATTTAATTTCCTCTCAAAATGGGTCAGCGCTCTCCAAAATAAGGAAAAAGACAGTCTAAGTTGTACTAACGGTGAACTGAAGAACAGAATACATAAGGGAATGAATGTTCACATGTATTTGCAATTTGACAGAGAAAATATGTGAGCTCATTTCACCCCGAGCTATTCACACTCATCGGTAGTAAGAACGACTTAATAGACAATAAAACAAAAACAGTAAAAACAGTTATGAATAATAGGAAACATACAATATTCGTGTGTTTTGTACATACAGTTCTTGGGATCCTATTCCTTATCCTGCCCCCGTTCACAAATAGGCTCCGAAATCCCCCCTCCAGATCGGTGAACGAAAGCAAATAACGACTGACGGAAATACGCGGGAAATGAGGAATGCACGGTTCAAATACGCGTTCTTGAGCTTTTAGACAAAAGCGCATTTTAATTTCGTGCTATTGGGTGGTTTTCTATAGTGACAACAAAAATGGTTTACAATTTCTGCAATAAAACAATAGTATGTACTATATAGAAAGAAACGTAAGCAGATGTTTTAAAATTTTTGTGGCTTGAACAAAAATTGAAAGGTATTTTAGAAGCAATAGTTCAATAAGCCTTCTTGGTTGAAAGTCATTTTCTTCTATAAATTATTTGAATTCGTTTTCTGAGTTTTCTTTTCCTAACAAACTCATAGGTAAAACATATCTTTGTACAGAATGCATTGGAAATTATGCGTTAGTCAGGATGTTTGAATCTTGTAGGCCGGAGGTTGGACATTGATTACCACGTTCGACCGGTGTATCAGAGAGCCAACCGCGCTGCAAAAGTATTACGATGAGTACGACGCCATTTCGCTGTCGGATACGTGTAGATGTTCTCCATAATCTCGCGAAAGAGAGTCGGTTCCTTCTCGCAGGGCAGGGTAAGGGATAAGAGCAAGATCATGAGTATTACGTTTTAAAATTAGTATATAATCCACAAGAGGGAATACCTAGTCAACAACCCAAGCACGAAGGTTATTGCCCAGGTACACCTAGTCACATGCACCAGTCCCGCGCCGGCGTCACCAGACAGGAAAAGTAGTTCCATCTCTGCTCTCCAAGCGAAGCACTGTCATGGGAAAGCACGCGTCAACGTACGGAGGCCAGCTCGACGACTGGCAGGCGGAAGGAGCTGGGGAGGCGCGGAATCGGTGGTGGTGGTGGCGGCGGCGGCGACGACAGCGAAGGCGGCGTAGGGCGGCGTTGCGCGGCGAAGGCGCCAGCGGCGGCGGCCGACCGGCGACCGGGCCGGTCTCAGGAAGTGCGGAGTAGTTTGAGCACCTGCCACGCCGTGTAGGGGCACTTGCTGTATTCGTCCGCGCAGCGCCAGCTGTCCCTCCAACGTCGCCCCAGCGCCGCCGCTTGCTGGAACGCCGCCCGGCCGCCGGCATCATGACCAGCCCTGGCGTCGCCGGCTGCCACACTGAAACGGAGGGCAGGACAGATTTTAATAAAGAGTACTGGAGAAGTGTTGTTAGGGGACGCATATTCTGGCGCGCGGGATGGATGGCCCTTTCGTGCTGTGCGTGATATACTTCTGCGCGCTCTCCAGGCAACAAATATTTTGTTTCCCTTTTACTTTCTTTCGTTTTCGTGATTCTGTTTTTAATGAGTTTAATTATTCTAAATGCACATATATAATAAGTCATTATCAGATATGCATCCAAAATTTTCCTTGGGGGGGGGCACTGGGTTAGGATCCAACCGGTTCTTTTACTCTGAATATAAAATGTATTTTTATTGGTTGATATATATTTAAGAGGAATTTTTAACGTAAACAATTGGTATTGCTAATAACTTTCGTAAGAAGAGACCATTAGTAAAAGCTATATTTTAATGTGTATCATTGGCTTCTGGTGGGCGTGTACCCCACTTCTTTTGCGTACGCCAATGATAATAATCTTTAATTGCGAGTAATCGAGAAGGAATAAATACTCTTTCCCTGTGGATGGACATTTTTAAACCGTTAAAATGTAAAATTATTGTTTCAAAACCCTTGAGAGTCAGAAATATTTTTTAAGAGAAACGAGAAGAAATATTTTTTAAGAGAGTAATAATATTTATCTAACAATTTGGATATACTTTTATAATTCCCAAGAAAAATATACTTAAAGGGTTGCAACTCATAAAATTGGTGCGCGTTTTCAAATCAACCACCAATTTCTCTTTATAAAGCTTGGAATTTCTTTAAAAATTGTATAAGCATAAAATACCAAAAAAAATGTGTTCCTGATTTCTTTGCTGAATAATTGCGTGAAAAAATTAATGTTTTCTTAAAAAATGTCTCTTTGAATTTAGAATCGAAACTTTCTTAAAAAAACTAACAATAACATTCCACGTATTCGTTACTCCCCTTGTCAACTCGAAATCTCTGTCTTGGCGCAAGCATTCGCAGGCCTCCAATTTCTTCAATAGTAGTCTATTTTATAACAAGGAGTTAACGAAGACCTCTATTCCCGATTGTTGTACTTTCGGTGATGAAAAAAATCAGTTAACATCCGAGTCTTATACAATGCTTTATTTTTAAACTATTATTCTTTAATTTTATTTATAGTTTCAGCCATACATCATGTTTATTTCACATTGGTCAGTGGTTTTGAACATCGGCAGTTGCCCTGATTCTAAGGTGCATGTACAAGACTGTGATTGTTACAGTTGTTCAGTGAGAGTAAGAAGGCAGACACATTTTGCTTAAATTTTGCTTTTACTTAAATCTCGGTAATAATAAATACATACGTTTTAGTAAAGGAAACTAGAGCACTTACAACATTACATAGTTTCTCGCATTATTAGTGAGGATTTATTATAATAACCCTTGAATCGGCAAAATTTTCCCAACCTGCAAAATTATTGCCTGCGGTGGAATGCGAACTCATGTACCAAGGCTAAAATCATATCTTGTAACCCAAATGCCTCAATCGACAACTTTCCATACTAACTCTCCCTGATGCTTTAAAAAAAAGTTGAACAGGTGCAACGCATATTTTCTAAAAAAGTTACATGATATTATTTAAAGACCTAATTTTGAAGATCTGATTTCATTAAGACAAATCTCTCTCTTCAATACTGTAGTTGTTGAAAAACCACCAAAAAAGTTTAAATTTTGAAGTTTTTGAACATTTAGAGAGTTTACGCTTAAGTAATTTTATGATACGTTGTTTTATAAGAGAAGAATTTGGAGCTATTTTTCAGAAACTTTTTGAACTATCGTGAGGCTTCATGTTAAGTACACCAAAAAATTAAAATATCGCTTTCAAATTCGCCACCTCAAAAATCTTCTCTGTTCGCAGCAGTATTGCAATATTTTCTCTTTGTTATACAAGTACGTAGTATTACAGAAAATAAAAGTACAATAATGATAAAATTTAGGTACGTTTAAAAAACATTTAACCAACAGTTAGAAGCGACAATTTAAAAAATATTTTTGTTACTAGCATAAACGCAGGGTTCTACAAATTCAGTACAGTGATCTAATCTAGCACAAACTTGCAGACGTTAAATTTCGTTTCTGCCATATCTTTCCTTATTTATTTGTTGATTTATTTTTATGATTTATTTCTTTTAGTGTTAAAGTCTGATTTACAAAGCCGTCACCATTCTTGAGACATGTAATCAGACAAAAATTGTTTAACTTTACTTCTGCAACAAAGAATAGTAATAATATTGGAAAATCAAAAAAGTGAACCAAGGAACTAGAAACAATTTTCTTATACCACAATTGTTTCCTGTGCACCAAAGAAAGAAGACAAATATTCACTCTCGTCTTCAGACGCAGAAAACAATGAAGACTTCAGATACGAAGTTTTGACAACTACTCACTATTCGTAACTTCGGAAAGGGAAACTCACCAGCAAAATCGATTGCGTTAATGTATGTCGAGAAGCAGGTACAGGTGAAATGAAGTTGTTTGTCTCGAAAGATTCTGGACCGGTATTTGCGCACGGAGAAATGAAAGTTTCGTGTAAAAATTACGCCAAATTGCTCGAACCGGGGATCGATTTCCAATCATTACAACTCGCAAGGCATTGCTCTTGCCTTCCCCACCTGCACTGCTACCTCCGTTTCAACTAGCATTGCCACCTTTTCGGTTTTTAACGTTATTCTCCGGGTTCCGGCTCCGGGCTCCGGGACATGCCTGGCAAGGTACTTTTTTTTCAATACTGATCGATGTGATGGTGCGTTATTAAAAATCTGCGTGTCGTACGATCAGTTAGACTTGCAAAACAAAATAATTGCACGATAATATTTTTTAGCTTTGAAATTATGTATAGAGTTCTTCTAAACGACCAGACAAATCAACGTGATTTCGTTGTTGCTTGGTAATTATTAAAATATAACTTCCAAAATATATGTAGGCAACATTTGTATTTATATATGTTTATATTTATATTCGCTTCTATTTACATTTGCATCCTCTCGACCTGTCATGGTTTAGAGCCATGAGGCGAAGGTTAACACTTAAAAAGTTAACTCAAAGTTAAATTTATAAGAATATTGACGCAAAAAGTTGTACATACGTTGTGCGTCAAAGTAAACATAGGGTGGGTAATATCGTAACATCTGAGAAATAGAATTACGAAGACAAACTCCAGGCATCGCATTATATGCCTGTTACGAGACAGATATTATACATACTAGCTTCAAAGTTCCGGGGAATTGTTAATAACTCGGAAACAAGATATGAGATCACAATTTACACAACATTTCCTTCCAAATAGTTCGCTTCCGCAGTGACAAACTTCTGCCAGAGCGTGTTGAATGACTGAAAGATTTCCTGGAAGCCATTTTGCGATACTACTCGTAGTGTTCTCGTCGCATTTGATGTAACTTCATCGGCGTTCACCAATCCTCGCCCCTTCGGAAGAGATTTAAGCCGTGGAAAGAGACAGATCTGGAGAGTATGGACGGTACTCCAATGCGGTAACGTTGTGCCTAGCAAAGTGATTTCGTACTAATACTGATCGATGTGATGGTGTGGTACCGTGTAAAAAAACAGTTTTCAGTCCACTTTTCCGTACGTTTTCTCCTTATTGGGTCCTTGAGACAAAGAAATTCCTCATACAGTTCTCTTGTTACAGTACGACCTTTTGGAATAAACTGATAGTGGGCGAGACCCTGTGCGTCAAAGACTACTTCCAGCATAATTTTGCCTCTGCTAGTGTCCCCACGAAATTTGTTTTGATGATGTTTTGGATTTCCACTTGCATGCCTGTCGTTTAGGCAGTGGGTCGTACAAATAGCACCAAGGGTCATCTTCAGCAATTACGTTGTTCGAAAAGTTATTATTTTGATCAGCAATACTAATTTGATCTTCAGCAATAATCACTCTTGTTTCTTTGTTTTCTGGAGTCATTATTTTTGGAACCAACTTTTATGATACGTAATGCATGTTCAATTGGTTGTGAAGAATCGTATGGACCCTTTCGACTGAAATTTCGACCTCTGCCGTTATCTCCCCAATAATCTTTTTTCGGTCCCTCATCACAACAATGCGTACTTGCTCAATGTTTGCTTCATTTATCGCAGTTGTCGGTCGCCCGCTTCTTATTTTTTTTATTTTTAAATATATCTTTATTAGTGAACGAATATACATAGTTCAGTATTATTTATACTACATCATATGTATTTTTATGACTTATATTTAACTTAAATGCTAATCTTACAACTAAATCTAACTACACATGAATAGGAAACTCACAGAGCACCTATGTGATTAATTGACTTCTGAAAATATGCTGAGGAATGAATCTAATGGATATCTATTTTTTATTCTTGTTGGGAGCTGATAGGTGGTGGCTAGGCCGTAGTGGGTGGCTTGGGTTATTGTGTTTATTTTGGAGAAGAAATTGTTAGATAGGAGCGCAATATGGTAAAGTATAGGAGGTAAATTAAATTCTTTATGCAGTTGAATATTTGAGATGAACCAGGGTGCATGAGTGGCAAGTCTGAGGAAATTATTTTGGATGATCTGTAATTTATTAATATTAGTTTTTGAAGCATTGATCCAGATAGGGCATGCATAAAGCATTAGGGGTCTAATTATTGATTTATAGATGGTGATGGCATTGTTTAATGAGAGCTTACTATTGCGATTTATAAGTGGCTTTAGTTGAATTAATTTTACTTTGGCTTGCTGTGCTTTTACTGTTATGTGATTTTTCCAATTTAGACTGGTATCAAGATTCAGCCCTAAGTATTTAACAGATTCATTGTGTGAGATTCATGGAATTGGGTTATTGTTTATTCGGAGTGGTGTTGGGGTTGAAAATGTTCTTAATGAGAATATTTTGGCGCATGATTTTGTAGAATTTAGTTTGATTTTCCATTTGACAGACCATTCATCAAGGTCGTCCGCTCCTCAGGTCGCTTTTCAGGGTATCGCTACCGCCACTAAAACGTTTACGCCAGAGATCTACGTGTATT